TTATTTAAATAAAGATCTACAATCAGAATATTTTTTGTTTACATTTGTCATTTTTTTGTTTACAATCTTTTCTTGTCGAAAAACAGTAGTATTATGGTAAGTCTTGGTCCCTTGTGGTCTAGAGGCTATTAGGAGTTAAGCCACGATACCTCCAAAGAGCTATAGCTACAATCAATGTACATTGAATTGTTTTCGGTAGTATGGCTTGTATTGAAGACAAAACCAGTTTTTATAGCCAAGAAGCTAGCTGGTATCTTTGTATGCACGGTCACAAGCTATACTTGTATATTGTATTTAACAGAAATGGTTTGGTTACTGTTTCTGATATTAACCAACTATATCTCGAGCTCTGCATGGAAAACACCCTGATAGACCAAGTTTTAGTGATGACTCACCACGGCTATATGCTTTTACTTGATGAGCTAATTTTTTTTATTTTTATTTTTATTAGTGATCATTAACGATGCAAGACAACTATTAAGATTTCTTAAATTGGGAACGAAAAAATTATTTTGAACTTTTTTTCTTTGTTTTTTGCTCTTAGAGAATTTTTATGAGGCTATTGTATTTTTTGCTGTATTTTTTAAAATTTCGATTATAATCATAATAAAGTTAAATTATAAGTTAAAAATAGTATAAATATGCTTTGAGTTGTATAAATATAGTTTAAAATTAAATAAATAAATATAAATTTCTTTTATCTAGAGTAAAAAATAATGAAGTTGTTGTTTATGTTTTACATATTGTTTGTTCTTTTGATTAATGCGGCTGAGATTGTTGAAGTTGAACCTGCCATGATGATTGGGTCTCGTTTGGACAAGTTGTATACTTGAAATTTTAGGTTTGGTTGGTATATGCCTATTTTAAACAGAAATGGACAAATTATCAAACGTTATCCTGGTAGCATCTATCTTCAAAAGTTTTATGGTACCAGTACTACATCTCGTTATGTGAATGTGTATAAACCTAAAGGTGCAAACACCAAGCAACCTTGTATAACAAGAAACAAAAGAAAAAAGGCTGTAACGAAAAAAAGATCAAGAACTCACAAGTCACATGGTGAAATCATTTTATCATTCGATACATGAATAGTTATTTAATCAGATTGTAATGATAGATGATTCCTTTCAGGAATTGCTGATATTTTTTGTTGTATTTTTTAACATGGCTAAAAATCTTCAACATTTTTTTTTTTAAACATAAGTATATGTATGTGTTATTGCTATAATAAATAAATTTTTAAATAAAATATAATATATTAAAGAAAGATATAATTTAAATTTTAAAAAAAAGCAATGTCGTCATCTAATAAACCTCCTAAAAAGAAGAAGCAACAGTTAAAAAGCTCTGATCTCGCTACTCCTGGTAGTAATTATGGGTATGGGTATTCTGGTGTGGTCACTTCTTCCAATACCGCTATATCAAAGTATGCGAATTATACAAATACAAAAACTGTCATGACCCTTGTGACCAAGCAAAAGGAGATAGTAGAAGCTTTGACAACCCAACAAAATAAATTAATAGAAAAACTGAGTAATGATAATGTGAAGCTTATTAAATATATAAGTAATGATCAGAAAAAGACTATAAAAAATTTAACCAGTTCACATGAAAAGACTATCAAGAATCTAAGCAATAATCATAAAGAAGTCATCAAGAATTTAAGCGATAACCAAACAAAGGTGGTAACGAGTTTGAGCGAAAATCATGCTAATGTTGTAAAAACTATGAACAATAATGAAGTAAAAAAATCAAAATATACACATGACACGTATAGAAAGGTTATTGACTCCATGCAGACCAACTATAACAAGAGATTGCAGAGTCAGGATGATTTGATCAAGATGCTGGCTATTAGTAATATTAATGTGACGAATAAGTTGTTAGACTATGTAACTAGTACTAGTAAAGTAAAAAATACTTCAGAGGATAATATGGTAAATCAGTTGTTGGCTTATTTGATGAATAATAATAATAAACCAAATAAAAATGATTTAGACAAATTAAAGAACACTTTAAAACTTTTGAATAAGGAGCAAATACAGGTATTACTTAAAAAGATTGATAGTTTAGGAGTAAAGAATAGCGATTCTGAATTGTATAAAATAATTTTTGAGAATGTAAAGCTTTGAGTTTTTTTTTAAAATAAAAATATAAATACCCTGTCAGTTGTTATTTTTACTAAAACAAATATCTAATTTTTTTTTGTACATTACCTACATTAATTTCAATATTTGCTATTTACTTTTTATTTTTATTGCATCTGTTGTGCTCTATCGACTTTGCAATAGTGAGTTACTTGATTTCTTGTATATTTTAAAAAGCTACATTACACTTTTGGTTACAAATATTCGGTTAACAATCCTGAAAGCCATTAGAGCATTAGATACTTATGATGATAAAATTATTTAAACCTGGTGCACACAAAGAGCAAGAAAAATCAACAAACTAAAAACATAAAAAAATCAAAGATAGCAAAAAAACAGTTACCAGTAAAAAAAAAAGCCAAGGTTCATTTTTCCAACACTTGTTGTGGTAAAAATATATTATGAGCAAATAAAAAGTTGCTTCGTTACTAGGATCTAAACCAAAACCTAAAAAGGTTTGCTTAATTAGAATATGCATAGTTGGTGATGAACTATCATATAATGTGTGTAAGCAATCGCGACCTTCTAATTCAAAGATTGATCGAATAAATTTGGGCTCTATGATTACTAATGATGAGGCAGAAACTTTGGTCTATAATAATACTCTTTATAAGCGATTTTGGGTTTGACGTTTGCTACAACAAAATGATAGATGGCTCTCGACTCGTCTTGTTCTTTCAAACATTTCAATTCATATTAGATTCACCTCTATTCATACTGGACAAATTGATAATCTGATTGGTATTGCTCCTTGGGGGGATGATTCTCCCTCCTAAACAACCTGTTCAAAATGATGATAAAAAAAACAGCTTCCTTAGCAAGCTGAGTTAAGACCCGATCAATTGGTAGATCATTACAAGTTACCTTCAGTTAGAAAAAATGTTTTGTTGACTTCATTATTATCAAAGATGTGATTATATTTTTATTTAGTTCGTATTTGTGATAAGGCTTTAGCTAAAAAATCTGTTTGAAATATTGTACCTGATGATATGTTTCATGATGTTGAAAATTTGGATGATCCAAAGATTAGAAATGATAAGTTAGATGTTTTGGCCCATCATGTGGGAGAGATTGAGTGTGATAATACAGATTGTTTGTTGAAAGATTGAAATTTCTATATGTGTTATAAATTTCCAAAAGATGAGATGAGGGTTTGTAAACTTGAAGAAGAAGTCGAGGATAATAGTATCATGTTTGATACCACAAATTTTGCATTTATTATCGCTGTTGATTATATATCTGGTTTCTTCAAGATGTGTAGACTTTGATCCCAACTCCCTAACAATGATGCAAGGTTTGTACCTGATCAGACTTCTTATTTGTTGGGGGAACAATTTTCATTTTTGGCAGGGCAGACTGGCATACCTGTTTATATAAGCAATGGGTCGATTGAGATTGCTTATCATTATAATAAGACATTTGAGAGCAGAATGAAATTGAGTAGATCTCTTATTAGACAGCTTAGAGAGGAATTTATCATTGTACTAGCCAATAATAACAATAATAATTAGAGTGATCAAGTTGTTAATGTCGATGAGGATGATTAGTTTTTATTATTTTAAAAATATATAAATATCATGTTTTCTCTTTTTTTATTAATAAACAACATTATTTTAAATTTTAATGTTAATACAATGAGTTGTAAGTGTAAATTTGGTTCAAATAAATATGTTTCTTGTTGTTATCATGAAGAACAAAGAAAACAATTAAGTTATCATAAGGATTATGAGGATTCAGAGATTGACTTGACAATGGTATTTGCGTATATGGTAAAGCAGTTTTTTCGGGAAACCCCTAAATTGTTAGGAGTAAATATTCAACCGAAGAATCCTGAAAATATCAATCGGCCAAATATTCCTGAAGATGTTGAGATGGATGATTGGCCAAATATTCTTGAAGATGTTGAGATAGATGATTTTAATGAAATCTCACCAACTGATAATGAAAAACAAATTGATAAACCTGAACAAATAGATAATCCATTAGAATCAACTCCAACTCTAGTTCCGAATTCTAAACCATCTATGGAAGAAAATGACTTATACGATCAACTAAGATGTGAGATAGAAGCAATTATGCGTGAAGATGCTATTAAGCTTATTAATAGAAAAGAGATTTTTTTGAAAATTGATAATTCTAGATTAACACCTAGATTGAAAATTGATTTGCATAGGATTCAACGCAAGAAATTAGCTCGATTGAGGGTAGAGTATTACAATTGATATTCCAATTTGATTGATAGTACAAATTTCATTATTAAGCTGAATGCTTTACATACATCCATTGTCGATGACGAAGTGTTATAATTGCAACAGATACCTCCTCTTTTAAGAAGAATTACCAATAAGATATCAGAAATTCATTAATAAGAAGAGTATGACCGCATCCGACAAGGTATACTCAACGAAAATGATGTAGTCAAGGTTGATGTTAATTGGAGGGATGAAATAATTTCAGCAAAATATTTATCTGATATATAGTGGGGTGAATTGGAATGTATAAGAAATGAGCAAAAGTGGAATTTATGTGGTATGCAGAAATATCAACAGTTCAAGAATGAGCTTGAACAAGCCCTTATTGGTGATATAGTAGACAGGAAGATATATGATACATTGATTCAGAAAGATATGTTTTTGAGCAATTCTCAAAAAGAAGAGCTTCAACGTCTTCGAAAAAAGCAATTGAGCAAATTGACAGATAAAACATTTAACGATCTTAAGAATAGTATAAGAAATGAATATGTATTGAGCAGGTTGCAGGATAAGGGATATTATGATGAGCGTATTGCCAAGATATGAGATGAATTCCTATCTGACAATTTAAAGAAGGATGATTTGCATATTTTACATCATCATCGCCTGGATATGCTTCAGGCTGAAACCAAAGATCAGTTATACGACAGCAATTCTGATCTAATCAATTTGCATCAAGATTTACAAGACTTTGATGATAACTCTGACCTTGCAAAAGATATATTGGGATTAAATCAGTCCTTGTTGACTGGGAATCGTAAAGTTGAGGATTTAGTGAATAAGAGGAAGATCAAGCATGCTAATGAAAAATATGATAATTTTGAATTTGCAATTAATCTCAAGAAGAAATTTGATAAATTAGAAAATACTTGAAAGAGAAAAATAGATTCTGAAATTGATTAATAGTATTTAACATTACCACGTTTGCTTGAGAAATTACATCAGTTGTGTCAATATCAAATATAAGTATTAAATACTCAACTAGTCGAAAAGAGACCCCCACCTGCTAATCCTCTTCAAGAATATTTTCTTACCAGAATAACTGATAGGGCTAGAAAAACTCATAATTATGCCAGAAATGTAAATGCACAGATTTCATCTATAGTAGATGAGTATAAGAAAACTTTGAGAGGGGATAATAAGAGGCAGTTAACATCACGCATTAAAATCAATCATGTAAAGAAGATGATCAATAATGCATATGAAAAAAGTAGAAATGGAAAATCGTTACTAGATGCATTTTATGATATTTGGATTTTTGACACAGAGGATAAAGATTTATTAGCAAAATCTTTTACAAAAAAGCATATTAATAAGGCTAAAGAGTTATCAAAAAATATTGATAATTATATGTAGCTTATTTTAAAGAAAAAAATCAGGGGCACTGGGCGAATTCGCCTTTTGTTGAATCTGAATTATCAAATGATCAAGTATTATCTAAAGCTTATTAAGAATGTCAGATTCTCCCGTTGGGGTTTATACTTGAAGTTGTTGACAATAGGGAAAATATTGAGTTGATTATAGCCGAATACAAAAAATCATTACAAAATCCTAGTGAGATCTCAGCAGCGAATTTTCAGAAAATTGAGGAGACATTAGTTCAGGGGATTAGTAAATACAATAAGGATGATACCAAGAAAGAATATTTGCAAAAGGTATTCGATATTTTAATTTCAAGAAAACTTAATGATATGGAGGATGATGATGATATTGATAATATGTTTGATTCATTTGATTTTTTGTTTTAGTATTTTAATATGATATTTATTATATAATGGTTATAATTAGTATATCCTACAAACATTAATAAAAAAAATATTTGGCATAGTGTAAATTCAAAAATACAAAATGTCTATATGGTGTATAAGTAATCTAACATTTCTAGGTTAAAACCACCAAATTCTTCAATATGTTTTTTAACATATCTTTTTAACTGATTCATTGCTAATGTAAAGAATATATTGTTTAGTTGAAATAGATCTATAACTATGTCAACTAAATTCAAGATGTATTTTTTGACTTTTCTTTTTAATATATCGTTAAATCTTTGTTTATAGTATAATAGATCAATCAACATCATTTTGATTTTATTGCTTAGCCTTTCAATGGTTTTTTCTTTTTCTTTGATAGTTTCTTCAACAATTGCTATGTTTTTAGGTTGCATTTCTTCGCGATTTCCATTCTTGTTAAGATAGTTGTTTCAAGCTTCATTCATTTTCTTTTTTTTTAAATAAATTTTATACATGATATATATATATTTACAAATAATATAATTAGTTAAACAAATCTAAAAATATTTTTTAAACCAAAACAGCAAGCAATCGAATTTAAATTAGTACGTACATAATAAAATTACTGATACAGATTGTTTTTTAATATGTATTAGCCAAATGAAAAAATTTTATTTGTTGCCCAAGTCTCACTACGTGGAAGTTCATATCTTGAGAATTTGAATTATTTATTATTCATAAAGACTCTTATAAATAATTCTTACAACCTTTTAAAGTGAGAAACTAGCAAATAACACTAAGCAATATATGCTAGACCTTTTCGTTGTATAAATAAATTTGTTTTTATTTATTCAGACTTGTATGAAAGCTATACAAGC